ACCAGTCTCTACACACACACACACACCAGAGTCTACACACACACACACCAGTCTCTACACACACACCAGAGTCTACACACACACACACCAGTCTCTACACACACACACCAGTCTCTACACACACACACACCAGAGTCTACACACACCAGTCTCTACACACACACACACCAGAGTCTACACACACACCAGTCTCTACACACACACCAGAGTCTACACACACACACACACCAGTCTCTACACACACACACACACACACGTCTCTCTACACACACACACACACACACACACCAGGTCTCTACACACATACACACCAGTCTCTACACACACACACACACACACCAGTCTCTACACACACACACAGACCAGTCTCTATACACACACCAGTCTCTACACACACACACACACGTCTCTCTACACACAGACACACCAGTCTCTACACACACACACACACACACACACCAGTCGCTACACACACACACACCAGTCTCTACACACACACACACCACACACAAAAACAATAATAATTCTATAAAGTGATGATTTTATTCTGACTTTTACAACAGGAGCAAAGACTGTGAAAAACTGACCCCAGGACTTTGGAGCAATGACTATTTTCCATAAAACAATAATAACAATAATCTGTGTGTCTATGTTAGTGTGTGTGTGCGTCTGTGTGTTTGTGTGTTTATGTTAGTGTGTGGGTGCGTCTGTGTGTCTATATTAGTGTGTGTGTGCGTCTGTGTGTTTGTGTGTCTATGTTAGTGTGTGGGTGCGTCTGTGTGTCTATGTTAGTGTGTGGGTGCGTCTGTGTGTCTATGTTAGTGTGTGTGTGCGTCTGTGTGTTTGTGTGTTTATGTTAGTGTGTGGGTGCGTCTGTGTGTCTATATTAGTGTGTGGGTGCGTCTGTGTGTTTGTGTGTCTATGTTAGTGTGTGGGTGCGTCTGTGTGTCTATGTTAGTGTGTGGGTGCGCCTGTGTGTTTGTGTGTCTATGTTAGCGTGTGTGTGCGTCTGTGTGTTTGTGTGTCTATGTTAGCGTGTCTATGTTTGCGTGTGTGTGCGTCTGTGTTTGTGTGTCTATATTAGCTTATGTGTGTCTGTGTGTTTGTGTGTCTATGTTAGCGTGTGTGTGCGTCTGTGTGTCTATATTAGTGTGTGTGTACGTCTGTGTGTTTGTGTGTCTATGTTAGTGTGTGTGTGCGTCTGTGTGTTTGTGTGTCTATGTTAGCGTGTGTGTGCGTCTGTGTGTTTGTGTGTCTATATTAGCGTGTGTGTGCGTCTGTGTGTCTATGTTAGCGTTAAATTAAACTCGTCTGTAATCTAAATGTTTGATAACTTGAGATCATGACATTTCTGAATGAATTCCCGCAGGAAGGAGAGAGAAGCCGCTGAACCGAACACTTGTATATACTTTTTTTGCTGATAGGCCAAAAATAATTCTGACTGAAATGAACTGACAGCTTTGAGTAAAAGGAACCGGAGTGCCATTGGAATGTTGCTTGTTGTTATCATTTTTAATAATGTGGCTAAAATAGAGAAATAAAGTAGAAAGCTTGTATTGTAATTCACTGTTGGCTCCGGGAAGGCTTCAGGAGGTTTGGGGGGATGTGTTTAATCAGGCTTTTGAACATGCTAATAATGAAGGTCTTGTTATTGTTGCTTGCTCATCTGTTGCTTCTTCATTTCTGCGTGTGAAGGTGCCACGTGTAGTATGAAAAGACTGTTTTAGCTTCACACCTGTCCTGAGAGAGTAAAACATTAACTATGTCTGGATTTTTGCGTGAGATTTTGTCAGGTTCGACTGTGGTTAAATATCAGCATTAACACGGAGTCAAAACTAGATGATTTAAAATGACTCGACTTTTTGTTTGTATGTTTTAATCATCACTAAAAGTCTTCGTCGTCAGAAAGGCTCCAGGCCCCTGGGAAGGCCGTGTTCCAGCCTCTCCTCCCACTCAGTCACCAGGTGGATGGCACTCTCGCCTCTCAGCAAGAAGGTAATGGATTCGAATCCCGGTCGGAACAGGGCCTTTCTGAGTCGAGTTTGCATGTTCTCAACGTGTCTGCGTAGGTTTCCTCCGGGTGCTCCGGTTTCCCCTACCACTAAAAACCTGCACCATAGGTCTGAATGTAAATGAGAGAGTGAATGGATGGTGTTGGGTCGGAGGTTTTGATGGTCCAGTGTGTTCTGGACTCGCTTCTGTCATCACCGTGTGTGGAAGGACTGGAACAATATCTGATTCTGAACATTGGAAAGTGCTTTGGGTCTGTACCTTGGTCTGTAACATGTGCTATATAAATAAACATTACTTACTTACTAGGTTGAAACACATCCATTTAGCTGCTTACAACTGATTCTTTTTTCTACTATTTATTGCTTTATCTCCCGTTTTAAACCCACATTTGAATAAGACTTAAAGCCAAAACTTTATTGCTGCTGTTTTATTATGAAATGATTGTATATTTCATTTAAACTGCTCTTGTGAAGCACTTTGAAAAGCCTTGCACACAAACTGTGCCATACAAATAAATGATTGAATAGTTTATGTGCTCGAGCAGTTACCAGACAGGACGGAGCACTTTAAACTGGTCGATACAGCACTTTATTATCGCTTTTAGGCTGTGCTTGTTTTTAAACCTGTTTCAGAATCATTTGTTTTTCTTTGCGTTTTGTGTCCTCTGGGTTTTTGTTTATGCTTATTCTAATGTGGTTCTTAACAAAAAGCCAATAAACTGAATCTGAATCCTTACATCTGGAAAAAGAGCCACAATTAAAATTTCAAAAAACTGTGACTGAATTATGAAACAATACATTTAAGAATAATTGGCTTTATGTATAATTTAATGTGTATAATATCCACAAACTGAACATATGGCAAAGTAGAAAACAAATGCATTTAGCCCAGAGGCCCAACCTGACCTGCTTCGGCCCGGTTCAGCCACACATACAGGATACTGGTGACTGGTCGTTCATGTTAATAACACTATTTAAGACCGATTTACAAAATGTGTTCAGGAACGGTCCTCAAAGTTTGTTTTGTGAAACCAGAGCAAAGTCAGACACGGATTTTACTCAAAAGGTAGCTCTTAATGTTTTTATTTAACTTCACATTTTTAGTCTGAAATATCTCACACCAAATGGCGCTTAATGAGAAGCAAAAGGATAAATCGGGAACGTTATTTTTATCGCCGTTATCGCCTTAATTTTTGTCTTTCTGTACTTTTTTATGTACTTGTCTGGAGTACACTGGGGACTTTTGTAAACTTATTCCAATGTGGTTTTACTGTAAATGGAAAATACTATAAAAATATTCCAAATCTTAATATATATATTGACAAAAACAACCTTTTCGAGATTCAAATTTTCACTCTGGTGCAATTCTTATTCATTTTTGAAAGTGTGTCCAGGCCTGCAGCGTTCAAAAGCCTGATCTCGTTTGTTAAGCAGAGTCAATATAGGCCCGCAATCTGCCCCAGGGCAACTATGGCTACACTCATAGCTTATCACCACCGTGTATGGACTGAATAATGCCATCTGTGTGTCCAAAAAGTGCAATATAAAACAGAATGTATGGTTATTGTGTCACTTCCTGTTTGTGTTGAAGGCTCTTGAACGCAGGAGTAAAGGATGGAGTCGTCGGTATCAAGTCACATTTCCCAAAAAACCATGTGTTAGAGCAATGATGTTTAAGACCAGAGGAACAGCTGGAGGCGACAGTGGCTCACTTGGTAGAGCATTGGCCTTTGAGCCTGATTCGAGCCCACCATGAGACCTCCACTAACTCCTGCTGATGACTGCTGTCGTTGTGTCCTTGGGCAAGACACTTAATCCCACTTTGCCTGAAGTCCCTGCTGAAAGATCAAGGCTATTCTTGGGTTTCATGAACCTGGCCTGTAGGGGGCGCATGAGCAGAGATGGGACAGTTTTGCTCCCATTGAAAACCACGTAAAGTCTGTTTTGGAGTCAAAACGCTCTCCTCATGTGCGGTGTACGGTTGTTGGAACAGTCTTAATCAGGGACACTTAGTACTAAAAAATATTTCTCAAAAGAGTCTTGATTTCGGGCATTTTTGGAAAGAAAAACAGAAGAAATGGCTGCGTTTCATTGGGGTGGCCTGCAGGGGGCGCTTGTCTGGGAAAGCCTTGATCCACCTCGCCCGCCTCATTCCAGTGATTTTTTCAAAGTGTCCACCTTTATATGAGACACAGTTGGAACATGAACAAACTCTGGTCTTTCTCTCTGTTTGTGCGGTTGCTACAAGCGTACACCGCACAGAAAGATGGCATTTTGACAGCGCTTCTTCTTCTACTATATCTCCGTGTATAAACCCGGCATAGACTGCACCGCAAGGGTTTGTTATTCGCGCCACTGCCCTGACGTCATATGGAACCCAAGAATGCCATGCGGCCATCATCCTGTGGACTCAGCACCTGCAGGAGGATCAGTGAGGGGCTGGTGCTGTGTGGACTGGGTGCTATCTCTGGCCACCCCCCCCCGACCCAAAAATGGATAAAGGAGTAGAAAATGGATGGATGGACCAGAGGAACAAATAAACAAATAAATAAATGTAAATATAAGTCAGTATAAAGTAATCTCCAGACTAAATGCATGTATGTAGTGCAAATATTAGTTATGAAGCATTCAGAACCATGTAGAAACTTTAGTCTATTCATTTATATTCCATCAATTGTCTTTACTCATACTGTAAAAGTTCGACAATTAAATAAAAAGTCTCTAAAACTTCCTTGAGAAAAAAAATCCAATTTAAAAGCACCGTATTTAGTCTTTACGTTCACAGGAGTCCGTCTTCCTTCGGTTTCCATCGAAAAGCATCGTCCTGTTCTTTTCAACAGCAGTTCGCCAACAACTTTTAATAATTAGACGTCCATCTTGTCGTTAGCAAAAGCAAAAATACGCCCGGAGGTTAGCATGAAGCTAGCAGTGGGCGTCTGTAATACTCTCTCAGTGAAAATACTTGTAGAAGTCTGTGCGGTTTCATCTTTAGAGGTTGGATTTGGGTCCCGTGTTGACCGGGATGGCCATGAGCTCAGTCCGCATGCACAGGTATTCGCCGATCACCGCCATCAGAGCCATGGACGCCACGTTGACCAGCCACCAGGCCAGAGACGTGGGCAGGTGCGTGTTGTAGATCCAGCAGCCGATCATGTGGAAGAAATGCACGGTGACGGTGAAGTCCAGGCACTGCTTTCCTCGCCGGATGAACAGCCAAAGACCCAGAGCGCTGCGGGACAGGAGACAAATGAATGAATGAATGAATAGATATGGTAATGTTGCAGTGCACTTACAGGACAAAATATACCATACAAGTAGCTGCCATGTTTCTAAGCTAGCTGTGAATCCGTCAATATCAATATATCGGTATATCTGTATCTATGTATAATGCAAGGTTGTACATATAGGAGCAGAATAATACTAAAAATATGTACAATAGGTCTGACATGTGGAGTGAGAGGACAAGTGCCCCAAAAAAAAAACACACAAAAAATAACAATTGTAAACCGCTTTGTGACTCTGGTCTGTGAAAGGCGGTATATAAATAAAGCTTACTTACTACTACTACTAATACGTAGATAAAGTGACACACAGTGGACATTCTGACATTGCAGTATTGCACATTATGAATACCAAAGTACATCTGTGACATGTTAGTGCCATATGAACAAAGGAGCACTCTGAGGAGCACGGGGACTGGCCTCCTGCTGGTCCCAGAGTCAGGACTAAACATGTGGAGGCTACATTTCAGATTTATTCTGTTATAATCCAGGGTAAAAACAGTTCTGTTTAGCGGTGCATACAACTGAATGATTGTACCTTTAATCACTGTGATTATTATAGATCTGAATGCCTTGTATGATTTTTTTTTTTACCTTGTTTTTTTAAGCACTTTGAGTTTCCTTGTGTATGAACTGTGCCAAATAAGTTCATGAAATTCAATGTATTATTTATTGTCAATGATGGAAAACCCTGGGACTAACCTGTGAACGTTTTACATTTGTTAAAGCCTTATTCTTAGTATTATTAAAGCCTTATTCTTAGTAGATTATTGGTCCATAAAGAAGACCTTTCAGCTGCTCTGTAAAAGTTGCACTGCCATCTACAGGTGACTATACACATGTCCAAGAGTTTAAACCAGTCCAGAGAGGATTCATGAGGAAGTTAGTCTTCAGTAAAACGTGTTCTATGAGAATACATCACTACGTCCCACCCTAAAACAAGGCACAATTTAACCCCCATTACCACAAATGTTTCTGGTTTTTTTTTACCATGTGAGAGAATTCAATACGAACGCCATCATCGACAGTCTGCCCTGCATCGTTGCAAAACTCAGGATCTGTAGAAAACAGAAAATAATGTTTACATTCAATTTAATTCAGTTTTGTACAGCCCTAAATCACAGCAGCAGTCTTTACAAACTTGACAATTCGACAACAACAGACCCGGCACTTTGCCTCTAGACCCGGGACTCGGACTGAGACTCACTCAACTCCATAGTTCTTGTCTGTGATTGAAATAAATTTAATTTCTGGTAGCACAGAAACAGTTCATTGTATTTCACATGTCTGTCCACCTGGTTCTTGGGAGCCCATAGTCTTAGTTCCTGCTACTGTATATATGAAAAGACTAAATCACCAACGACAGATTTAAACAAATACTGAAATCTCCCGTGACAGACAGTTCTTGTGTCTTACCTCGTAGCTGAATATCTGGTTGAGAGAGCGAGTGGTTTGGACCAGACCGTCGACGCCGGCGAGCCACAGACCCAGGAAGCTGTAGTAGATGCACTGCATGAGCACGATCTGAGACACAATCAGCACCGGGTCCCAGATGTAGCTCCGGAAATGGGCCATTCTGAGCCGATCAGGACCAGACCCAGAGAACAGGGGATAGATGGATACTCCCACCAGCTGCTGAGAGGAAACAAAAACACAACATGATATAATAATAATAAGGCATAGGTTTTATACAGACACTCAAAGACGCTTCAAATGTCGATATTCATTCACTCCCTTCACAGAACTAGTGAACTACTACAGAACTACTACTACTGACTGATCGAAGCGAGTCAACCAATCTGAGGCATAGCTCCCTCTGACCATCACCACCATCATTCACACACACAAATATTAAAGCCAAACAGTAAAAAAAGTTTCATTATTACAGTACACAGTATAAATAGACTATACAATCCACACGTAGGAGAATGCTTAGAAGGTTCTTTTACCTAAGACCAACTAGTGAATACACCAGAGCTATAAAAAAATGTCTTGTTAAAAGCACCTTCTAATCATTAAACATAAGCACAAAAAAAATAACTATTTACATTTAACAAGTAGAGAAGTTGGGGTCAATGGTACTATATACATACTGTAAGTACATACAATATTATCAAACGCGCACGCTTATAGTAGATCTTACAAGCGAACAGTAAACCCAGCATACAGAAAGCTGTATACACGTATTAGTTTCAGAACACTTGTTAATTCTGTATTTATGGGCGGCACGGTGGCTGAGCACTCTCGCCTCTCAGCAAGAAGGTCCTGGGTTCAAATCCCGGTTGGACCAGGGCCTTTCTGAGTGGAGTTTTCATGTTCTCCCCGTGTCTGCGTAGGTTTCCTCCGGGTGCTCCGGTTTCCTCTACCACATAAAAATATGTACAATAGGTCTGGCATGTGCCTCCTGTACTGGTGACCCCCACTCCCCAAAAAAAAAATAACAATTGTAAACCGCTTTGAGACTCCGATGTGCAGTGAAAAGGCGGTATATAAATAAAGATTACTACTACTACTACTACTATTTACTCTTTATCAAATGTGAAGACACACCGAGTGGACAGGACATAACAACCACAGTGGGATTGTCAGGTCGGGTCCAACCTTATCAAAACTCACCAAACTCAACTCAATAACGTTTAGTTCAGTTCAGAGAAGCGACTTTAACCTTTACTATCCCTGACTAGAAAGAGGCCAGCGGTGCTATTTCACGGGAAATTTACACAGTAGGCGTAAACAGCGCGTACGCGTTTACTGCGCGCTCTCTGCGCGTAACATTTTTTTGGAGTATCTACACTGACCGTGCGCGCAGGTCCGCGTCTTCTGATGCTGTCCCTGTGTAGTCTATGGAGCAGTGTAGAGGACAGTACAGAGGACTGATGTAGAGCAACACAGATCACATGCATGTGTTTGTCTTCATGGTCTCTGTGCGCTGGTTTGGCCAGACGCGAGACTTTATGAAAGAAAAAATACGATGTCCAGAATCACTGTAAAACCTGCTGCTCCTCCTGCTGATGTTTAGACACAAGTGCTGTGTGTGTGTGTGTGATCTAAACCCAAGGACCGCTAGAAAAATCATGTTTTACATGAGATTTCAATGGGAGACGCGTTGGTGCGCGCACAAAATTAGAAATCCATCCTAAATTAGAGCGCAGCTTCGCGTCACATGTCCGTCATACGCGCGTATAACGCTAGAAGTGTAAATATCATCATAGGTTAACATGGAAAAAAGTTACGCGCGTCTGCTGCGCGTATGACGTAGGGGCCACACCGCCGGCGTGCGAAGTAACGCGTTGCTTGCGTTCGTCAACAGAGTGGGGCGATGACGCAAGAGTGGCCACACCAGCAGCAGCAGCAGCAGCGTTGTACCGCCCCACAAAGGAGAACAGGCTTCCTTTCAAATCAATGCACATTTATGAAATATGGCATATCTAATTTATATAATATCACAATTTCCCAAAAGAATAAATTCACAAACAATATTGAAAAGACGTTTACTCACTATTAAATATAGGCCATAGACAATATATTGTGGGGGGTGGGAGTTGGGGGTGTAAATGAATGTTCTTTTTTAAATGCATTTTTAATCTGTAAAGCACTTTGAATGTTATGTTGTAGCCTATGAAAAGCGTTTTATAAATAAATTAATACAAATATTTATATCAATGAAGTTTTATTGATATTGTCTAAAATGTCATTCTCCTGCTAGCTGTTTAGTTTAGACTACGAACAAAGTTATATGCCCATGTATATGTCAGAATTATAATATTTCATCAATTTTAGAAGTCTTTCCTTCGGGACACTAGACGAGCGCTTGACGCACGCCCCCAAAAATAGGATTGATTCTATCTTCTCAACGCGTGGCGCCACTAGCGCGCTGTGCCTCGCGCGTGGTATGCGCGGACAGTGTGGCCACTTCCAATCCGCTTCAATTAGAGCTAAGTAAAAAATCAACGGTTGCCAGCTACGCAGCGCTTCGCACGCAGGCGGTGTGGCCCCGGCCTAACGCGTACGTGCTGTAACGCGTGATGTGTAAATTAGCAGTTAGATTATGATTGAGTCACTGACCTGTTGGATGCAATCTGTATGGAAAAGCTCCTGGCATAAAACAAAACTAAAGACAATATTACCTTTTGAAGCCCAAGGCAGCGCTGTTTTCAAAACCACTGTACGCGTGTGTTTATGACTAAGTAAGACGTGACATACAAACAAATGCCACAACAACACTGACTGCGCGTAAGGAGACAACAACACGGAACTCGAAAAGCAGAAAACATGTTTTAAATCAACAACAATCACCACATTCTATCAACAACAGTGCAAACTAACCCGGGATAAGCTTCAGAATGATGTGCAGTGTGAATCAATACGCAGTTAACTCGTTTTTTTCTTATTTAGGCCCGGGTGTTAGCCGCATGAAGCTAGCATGAAAACACGGAAGGAACTGCGTCAAACCCGGAAGTGGACAGATCTCTACCAAGATTTATTTTTCCCTGCACACTTTTGTTAAGGCGTAAATAAAACACATTGCAATAATAGAACATATTTGTTTATGACCATTTATAATTTATTATTTAACTAAAATTAAAGTCATTTTTCAGTTTATAACAACTTTCTCTGGTTAAGAATGTTGTTTTGTGGAGACTGTAGAAAACAACATTTGGAGGAATGCGCTGGAAAAAACATAACTTAGTCCAGTAAATTAGTTCAGCGTCACCTTCTGAGCAAAGTGCGCTATTACAACATTAGTTTGAGGCGAACAACTTCTCAGGACTTTTCTCACAATTTTGTCAGCGTTCAATCGAGAAGATATACGGTACTTGAACAAAGGAGACAGGTGAGTCAGTGATCCAAGCAAATAAGCTTCCTAAATGTGTTCATTTGCATATGTTTGTAATATCTGATTTATATGTGGATGTTTGGGGGAAATCCAGGGAAATCCAGGGAAATCCAGTCAGCAGGCTGTCAATGGGGTTCAGGGTTAACGCATAGGATTTAGGACGTGACCATTTATAAGGTTTTAACATAAAAGTATGAGCAGACTCTGCTGAAATGAGTGTTCCACATGGTAAGAATTAGTCAGTGTTACAGTAAGAAGTACTATAGTATGTACAATAGTAAGAACAGATTGACAGCTGCATCCGTGGAAACATTTGACTGCTGTGTTGACGGGCCATTGACATAATATTTATAATTTAGACAATGAGATCAGATTATTATCATTTGCTACACTACTACTGCACTACTATTGCCACTGTTTCTTAATTGCCACTTCTATTGTACATGATATATCCTGCAATTAACATGTTTGCACACTTCTTTCTTTGCACATTTTTTTTCTTCTTGAGTGATTCTATCCATGCCAGATGTGACATGTAAATTTCTCCTGTGTGAGATAAATAGTCTATCTTATTTTATAATGAGCTCAGTGAATGGATGCATCATGTCACTTTACAAAAACTAGTTTAGGCACATTTTCAAGACATTCAAACAATATACATTACTACTCAAAGCCTATTCTGTCAAGTGCTGGAATCGCCATAGCTCTAGTATGGTCTGGGTCTAGGTGTGGTATCTGCAGGTGATGCCCGACCACGTCTGCACAATCACAGATAAAAGACCGGGAAGAACAAGGGTTAAAGGCGGAAGGCATCACAGAGATAAGTAAAAGCTCCTCATTTTGAAAGAGGACAGAGCACAGGGCAGCCCCAGATGCATCCTGGGTTAAAAAAATAAGTTGTGGGAGACAGTAGCCGCAGTGAGGAGTGGTCCTTTAGTTCAGCCTAGTCCAATTTAGTATTTAACTGTAGGCTGTAACAGATAGTCTAAGGGTATTAGATCAGGAAATAACCACTTTTGTTGTAGGATGCACGGGACAGAAGTGACTGAGGAGGATTTGCCAATTTGTACATCAGCATGGGCTGCATTTATAACTCGCTTTTATCAAAACAACCAATTAATTCAAAAACGCACTTTCTAACATAGCGTAAATACTCTGAATTTTTACAACAACTGTGGACCATTAAGCCACCTGTATAAAAACCGAACAGGCTACATTTTAAGAGGAAAGAATGTTAGTCAACATGTACAGTACTGACCAAAAGTGTGGACAACTTTCTCATTCTATGTTCTTTCTTTTCATGACTTTAGATGTAGATCCACACCACACACACAGTCTGTTTAAGGGCTGTTTGACCAATTAGGGAGAGTGAATGGTGCTGAAGCCAGATGACCTCCTCAGTCACCGGACCTGAACCCAGTCCAGCTGGTTTTGTGGTGTGCTGGACCACAGAGTGAGGCGAAGGGGCCAAAAAGTGCTAAGCAACTTTGGGACTTCCTTCAAGGACTGTTGAAGTCCATTTCAGATCCAAGAGAGAGTGAAGCAGTATCGGCAGCAAAAGGTGCTACTTTGAAGTACAGAATCATGAGTTGTTTTTTTGTACGTACATAATTCCACATGTGTTTTAATTCATAGTTTTGATGCCTTCAGTGTGAATCTACTATTTTCATAATCATGAAAAATAAAAAGCTCTTTGTAATGAGAAGGTGTGTCCAAACTTGTGTCTGTATGTACATGTTGACTTAAACATTCTTTCTCTTAAAATGTAGGCCTGTTCGGTTTTTATATCAGGTGTGCTTAATGGTCCAAGCAGGTGTGTGATAATATCTAGAGTTTTACGCTATTGTTAGAAAGTGCGTTTTGATTTAATGGATTGTTTGATAAAAAGGAGTTTTATAATGCAGCTTGCTGATGTACAATGGCTTATCCTCCTCAGTCACTTCTGTCCCTGTGGGCATCCTCTTCACAAAAGTGGTTTTCTGTTCTAATACCCTTATACTATCTGTTATCGCCTTCTGTTAAATACTAATTGGACTGGCTGAACTAAAGACCCACTCCTCACAGCGGTCTGATCTGTTCTCCATCATCGATTTTTTTACCCAGGATGCATCTGGGGCTGCCTGGCTTCGGTCCTATTTCAAAATGAGAGGCTTTTAATTATCTCTGTGTGTTGCCTTTAATCCCTGGTTCATTCCGTCTTTTCTTGTGGTTTGTGCAGGACGTGGTCGGGCTTCTGGCTTCACTGTCTCCAAGTCTTACCACAGTCAAAAAGAACCGGCATCCATGCCACGATGCTGCTGTCCGGGGAGAGTGCCTGATTCTATGTGAGCTTATAAAGACTTTCTGAAATGATATAGTCCCAAGCTGCCATCGTTTGTGACAGACTCTTTTGTTTTCAGGTGGGTTTCCTGAAGCTAATCCTGAAGTGACGAGATGTCTCTTAAGATCGACAGCAGGGTAATCAGTGTTTGACAGTTACAGCATTTATATTCTTTTTACACAGAATATGATTCGGTGAGGAACGAGAAAAAAAAACCTAAATGTTTGATGCATTGGTTTTGCATACCTCTTTCCCGGACATTCAAAGACTCAGGATCTGTACATGGCATTATTAATTCCTTTCATACACTGTAGTGTTAAAACCATTACAGTAGCCACAGCTGCCCTGGAGCAGACCGAGAGACTAACAGTTTTGTGCCATCAGCCCCTTGACACCAAGTACCTTTCACAACACTCAACTGACTCATTCCAGGCAAATGTTGGGTGAAGTGTGTTCCTATAAGGACACAGCAGGCGTTAGGCACTTTACAGTGCCCCCACTGTGGCACCTGGTGTTCCCAATGTCTCCCATTACTGTACTTACCTAGTTTCTGCCCCGCTGGCTTCTGAGGTCTCATAGAGGTTTCCACATGCAGGTGGCCACAAAAATACTTTGTTTTAATACAAAAGCTATAATTGAAATGTAGCTATTGATTTCAGAAAGTGGATTTGTGAAATAAATTACAATACAGATCAATGTGTTACCACTGTGTAATTCTTTACCACTGTGGTTTTGTTAAATTGCAGCTGTTTATGTCAAGGGTGTCCAAACCTTTTAGTAAGAGGCCACTCTAGTTCACTCAGGACTTGTTAAAGGACAACTCACCTCAAATCACTTTTTTTGCTGATAAACGGTATAAATGAGTGTCCAATTTGTGTTGTATAATATCCTGGTCATAATTTGGTCACTTTGGTGCAAATTAGTTGAAGTTAAAACTTTCTGCTAAAACCGTCTGTGAGGCGCCCATCTGCTGGCGACCTGTATTTATACGATTGAATTTTGAATCTGCGACGCCACAAACAATGGCGCCCGAGACAACAAGACCTGACGTCTGAAAGCAAGACCTGACGTAGCAGCCCCCCGCCCAGAGACAATGTATCTCGGCCCAGTCTCGTTCACGCCCCCTATAGTCCTCCTGGCTACGCCAATTAGAGTAAGATTTGAACAGGTAATGTGAGTGACGTAAGGCTCCGAGGAGCTGGGGTTGAGAACCTCTTTAAATTCATAGTTACACTGGTAACAAAAAATTATTTTTTATAAAATTAGCCAGGGTGTCAGCTGAGTAGACTAATTTTGATGCTCTGAGTCCGTAAAATGACTTGGTTTTTGCTCAATTCTGGTAAGGATTTTTTGCTACTGAAATATTTTTTTTAATCAATTTTAGTAAAAAACTAATTTCTGGGATAGTCAGCTGGAGAAACCCTGACTTTTTTCCGTTTTCCTCAAGAAAGAAAGTCAACGTATCCAAAGTCATTCAGTTTTATTTCACTCCACTAATTTTGATATAGCAGAATTCATAATAACGTAGACGTACGTAATCCGTAACACTATGGCTGTATGTTTGTGTAAGCCCTCAGTCGTCATACAGGGATTAGTCAAAGCAAGGAAGGTTTCTCACCCCATCATCTGTACTTCTGAGCAATGTTTTTTGGGAACAAGGGTCAGTCACATGCTAAGAGGTTAGGGTCGTTAGCCTCAGCAGGGTTGTTAGACTGCTCCCTTCTACATCATAAACTCGACATTAGATTGTTTATTGGAGTTGGTATCAGGGATTATGGGTGTGCTAACACATCCATAGTTTATAAATCTCCAAACGCACGCGGCGTATGAGAATTCATTCACCTGAAGAAGTCTTAGGATGAGGACGGGAAACGTCGGGAAATCATTGCTAAGTACGTACACGATGATGGGTGAGTAATCCTTCCTTTACTATGGCTGTTATTCTCAAATAGTTGACCTGATAGAGCAAATTGATTGTGATATTCGGTACTCAAAGTTTTAACACATAATGTGGCACAAAATAAATCAATTCCGAATAGTTTTTACCTTTGGGTTGTGCCTGTACAAATAAATCAGGCCTCTACTCCCAGCTTGCAATACTCATTCTCTCTGGAACAGTCCAAGGAAAATTTTATCCACTTGTATTACCAAAGTAAAATCCATTCTGCAAGAAATTAATCCAAAAATGTGAATTTATCTTAGCGAAAAAAAGACAAAAAAAAGAGCACAGATGTTATTACTTTCCTTTTAACGGAACTTTTAGCTTTTGTTTTTCACCCAAACATCTGGTATCTACGTGTTCCTTAGCTCCTTATATTTCAAATGAGACTACTCCGAAAAGCTAGACACCATTTTTGGGTCTGCAAGAAGCTCCCAGTGAGTACAGCTAGCGCTGCTGTTGTGAGCATGGATCACTGTCTTTGTTGTGTTCCCTATTGTTTGCTTCTATTTCCGGGATTTTTGATTGACATGTCCTGTGTAGCCAATGAGAAAGCTTTTGAGCAAAAAAAAAAAAAAAAAATAAAATGGGGTGGGACAATGGTGTCCTGTCTTTGTGGCCTGTAGAATTGTGCGTAATGGCAGCCAAGACGCTCTTGAAGCTGCAATGAATTTACACCAAACATACCCCAACATTCATAAAAAATAACTTTGGCATTAAAAAAAAAAACACACATAGTTAGTAACTTATAAGTACCAATAATAAAAAAATATTGTTTTTATGATGATTAAATCGTCAGCTAAGATATTTGCTAAATGTGCCACTACTTGTTGAAAGGAGAAACTGCATAAAAACATACAACTTAGAAAGTCTGAAACTTTAGACAGTTGTTGTCACAACACAATGACCACAGGGTTTGAATAGTGTGAATTTCAATGAAGTATAGACTTGTTTTAGGCCTTTAGAAATTGAATTGCTAAAAAATTGGATATTTTCCCAAACTTCAAAAGGATGCAGAGGAAATGGGTATGACAACATTATTTTTAGTTGTTTTTTTTCATTAAACTTGAAGGCTCTAGCTTTAAAAATGATGCATCTCACAAGCATGTGAGATGAGATGTGTTTTTAAATAAGCAAAGGACATTTGGGTTATGCCAAACTTTTGTGCACAAGCCAAATTGGGGGGTGTTAAGAGGTTTAAATGACTGAGGGCGGGCTAGTAAAAAATTATATTATTAAAATAACAAAAAAAATAAATGGCACCTGGGCTTAGTTTGTACATGCCTGGTTTAGTGATACAGCAGGGCTGTTGTCAGAACAGTGTCTATGGGATTTATTCCTTTGACTAAATCTAGGATTTGCAGCTAGAGCACGAAACTTTGTCACAATTCAATCAATCAATCAATCAACGTTTATTTGTAGAGCGCCTTTCCTACACAAAGGCAACGCATATAGGCGCTTCAAATCCCCTATCACATAATGACATAAATCAAACACTTTAAGAGCAACAAGATATTTTAAAAAAACAGTAAAAATAAAATCACAAAAATTAAAAACCATTTAAACATTAAAATCAAGATGGGACTTTAAATCATAAATAGTCACAGTGCATTAAAAAGATTAAAGATAAAAAGAAAGATGAAAAGATAAAAATCATTAGTTGTATATGCGCAGCTAAAAACAGAATTGTTTTGAGCCTAGATTTAAAAAGATGCAGAGTAGTCGCCTGTTCACTTTCTCTGGAAGACGGTTCTCAGGACTCTAGCCGCATGAATCTGAAATGCAGTTTGCCCATGTCTCAGTACCGTCTATGGGCACTAACAGGAGTACTGTCCTGTGTCCTCAGAGTCCGGGTCGGTTTGTCATTTGGCACAAACATGTCATGGTTGTACCTTGGCGCGAGGGACCATGGGAGAGACTTGTACACAAGTAAAGCTGCTTTGAAGTCTTTTCTCTGAGGAAACAGGAATGGCAGGGCTGTGACCTGGAAACTGGTCTAATGTGGTCGTACTTCCTATTCTGGTCAGGTCTCCGTGATGCTGCATGTTGAATGCTACTGCAGCTGTTTTTCAGCTGTTTGGACAGACCTGTGAGCTGGCCATTGAATAGTCTAAACCGACTGGAGACAAAAGCGTGTATAAGAGTCTCATGTCTCTTAGACACTATGTTTTTAATTTTAGCAAATGTTTTTTAGGTGGTCATAAGCTGCTGGAGGTTTCAGATTTTATGTGCTTTTGAAATTTAAGTCTGAGTCATTATTTAGTCTTGGACTGATAGGGAAAAAATGGCGGAGCTGGTAGCTGGTGGTGACCGGCGGCAGGGTGCTCGCCGATGCGAAAAACCAGAAATCGTACAAAACTTCCAGCGTGCATAAGTGATCGTAGAGGATGAATTGTTACATTTTCTATCGTCAAGATGCGTACCTTGGCGCCAAGACGAAATTATTATGCTGGCTACAAGAATTTTTCAACTGAGTGGATTGAAGACTCCAAAAGATTCCTCTTTGAAGTCTGCCCGAGTACATCTCTGCGTAATATTGCGCACAAAGGGGCCCAAAAAAGACTTGAACAATATAAAAATATGTTGAAAGTGATAAATGAAGCTGGGGAAAATATTCCCGTTTTGTCTCACTACTGGAGGACCTGCACCTGTGGATTTGGCAGATCGATGCTCTGCGCTGCTTGACCCTGACTGGAGCAACTTAACCGGGAGGTCACGGACATGAAGATAGCGTGCAAGGAGCAGGCTCACGTTAATGAAAACATGCGTATGTATAACAGGAAAGCATTCATGGAGCGAGTGTCGCGATTGAGGGAGCACAAACGCACCACTGTATTTGGGGCACGAGGATTACGCACCGCGCACAGCTGGGATCATGCCTGGAAGCACTGTGCTCTTGGAAAACGCGTGAGGATCGTACGATTGAAAACCATGAATCGGTATGTTGATGAACCTGGCCATCGACAAAGAGTCACCCCCCCCCCTGTGGGTCTACTGTTGTCAAAGAGGGTCGGCGTGTGAAGCAGGTTCCGTGCTGGTAGACGCGGACCCGGGAAAGAGCGTTAGAATGTTGGGCATAATGGGGACAGGTGCTAGCCACCATCAGGTCTGTAACTTCTAAACTGTGAGTGTATTTGCAACACGCTTGACCCTGCTGTAGCAAGCCGATTCACTGTGTGCTTATCTGTCAGATAAAAACTTGTACCCAAACACAACAGTCCAGTGTAGAAAGATAGCTCTGTTCAGAATACGCTACAGCTCGTTTCATGGCCCCTCACCGTGAGTCGAATGAAGTTTCGTGCATGTACGCTTCCTGGAACTTTGGCCAGCTGAGTACATATGTGCGTCGGTACTACGAAGCGCGCAGTGGTGGAGGAATGCATGTTGGTAGTGCCGGACCTGTAGGGGTTCGGGAGCCGAGGTCGGGAGAGCGGGAGCCGAGGTGCGGGTATCTTCCGATTAAAAACTGTATCATTGCCCTTTACAATTGTGTTCTTATAATGCGCGCGGGCAGCGCGTTGGACAACAGTTAAAGCAGACTCTGCACGTCGGGCTGTTGTGGATCAGCTTCTGCATTCCTGTGATATCTTATGTATTCAAGAGACTTTCTTAGCCAAGCAGATCTGGTTATACGTAAGCTGTGATATGGACTTCAAATGGGACAGGGGAATCACTACAGATCTGAGACTAAGTACTTAAAGGCAGAATTTCAGGCGGGTGTAGCTGTACTTGCACAAGAAATTTGATTTCTGAGGTTACTGTGCTCAGGTTGGGAGTTGACTGGGCATTTGGGGCTTCAGGTTCCAGTGTAGTCGTGGGAGTTTCTCCATTCTGAATATATATACATCCTTATTGAGTGTGCTAATAATGAGGGATGAATATCTAAATTGTTCTGGCTGGGATTTTGGCATTTATTCAGACCGTAAACTTGCACCTGTATATTTGTAGTTGGGGAATGAATGCTGATGTATTTTGGTGAGAAAATCTCTATTTGCCAATCATTTAAAGCATTTTGTGTTGAGAACCGCCTAGTTCTTTCCATATGGCTCTTTTCCCAAGCGTAGCTTCTGCATATGTTAGTGACGCCTGGCACTCATCATCCTGGCTTGACCTTTGTAATGCACAGTGATGCTCATGCCGTTATTGATAGCATGCAGAATCAGATATGATTTGGCTACATCTGACCAATGACTTGTTATTTCTAATGTAAACTGAGGTAGTGTTCCCTTGTTTTACTTCTTTAGGGCCTTCGTGTATATTACGTGAGAGTGGCTTGAGTCTAAGCGTACTTGTGAGGTCTTCTGTGCATTTTCTCGGAGAAACACATTTTAATTCTTGGGGGACATATTGATTGCCGAGGGATGCTATTTGATGGGCAGTGATATGAACTGTTCAAATCATGAACTTTCTACCCAACTGGATTTGTTTTATTGTAAAAATTTCTGGAAGCCTTATAAAGTTCTGGGAATGCCTGTCAAAAAAGTTTCGCTCCCCTGTGGATAGCCAGTTGAATAGGCACGTAGGTGAGGCGCATGCTGATGGCCCGTGCTGCATTCAAAGACTTGGGTGGATGCTGGGAGATGCAGGAGTGGAACATCTGTTTGAAAACAAGAAATATGCAAATGCAAGAACAAATTACAGTCTGACGGTACATAAAAAAGACATGATCAGAGTCTTAGGGCTG